TGATCTCTAGTGCTTATTGATGACTCTAGATAGTTGCTTAAGAGTTTTAACTTGATTCATCAGTCACTTCTGGGTTGTACAAAATACCCTGTTCTTGAGTACCATTTCTCACAATGTCACCACGCAAAACTCTCTACAGCCTCTTGCCACTTGTGATTATTTCTGACAGACAGCTCTTACTGGCTGATTAATGAGCAATGGGAAAGACTGTATCTGACATACCTATCATGAGCATTGTTTCCTTCTGTAGAGGTTCAGCTGGTTACATTTTAGGCAACGCATCTGAATGAGGGCTGTTCTGAAACTCACAAACAGGTGAAGGATTGAAACCCATGACAAATCTTTGAAGAGATGAAAGCAGATGTCTAAAATGCACCCCAAATAGAGAACTGAAATCAGTGAGCCTTCTGAATGTTCTCGTCGTTACAAAAAATCCCAAAAATTAAAAATTAGAAGTCAAGAATCGAGTAGATATAAATAACAAAATAACTGGAAATCTGTTTTAAGTGAAAATAAAAAAATATATATAATTATAGATTATGATTATTAAACATATTAATTATAGATGTAAGCAGAAATTCTTACAGAAAACTCAGCTGGAGCAAAAACCAGGAGAGACAGGACTGTGCATGGGAGTCACTCCTCTAATCCATCTTCTCTGGAAAACCCCTGCAGCAGTTTATGGAGATCGAGCCGGAGCTGCTGGCCACCGAGACCATCGTCCCCGTTTACTTCGCTCTGGAGGACGAGGAGCTGCTGTCCATCTACGAGCAGACCCTTGCCTCCTCTTCCTCACAAGGCTCCGCCTCTGCTGCCGAAGGTAGGGGGCGCCGTCTGCGCCGTCCTGCAGGCATGTTCCTGTTCTCAGGGAAGTCGGGCATTGTCATTTTTTTATCATAGTGTGGATTGTTAAGTCGTGATTAATGAGGAATTAAGCATCAATAACAAGGTTATACTTGCAGAACACTGGCTGTAAAATGGGTTGGATTGTGAATCACTGGGTGATATTTGAATGACAGGCATGGCTGCTTGAGCTGAGGCCAGAGAAGCTGAAATATTGCTAGAAAGTGGATCTGATTCTGTATTGGTGAAATCAATTGTAAAGGGCCTAGAACAGGATTTGTTATTGGTTTATTAACACAAAATTCTTTGTTTCCTTGTCTGCCAGTGCTGCTCCACACAGCGACAGCCAATGGGTTCCAGATGGTAACAAGTGGCGCTCAGAGCAAGGCAGTGAGCGACTGGGCTATCACTAGTCTAGAGGTGTGTTCCTGCATGTGAGAGAAATGCCGTACTATTGAGGACTGATGGGCTAAAGTGCAATGATTTGCCATTCTTTGTGGCTTCGATTCTGTTACATGGTAATCCTGCATGGTGTGAATGGATCGTGAGGTTCTGTCAAATATTAAGTGGTTCGAAGACTAACGTATGCGAGGTAGAGCAAAATATTCACATTTAGAACTAGCACTTTTACAACGAACATTTAATCAATCAATTTGGGCATCAAGTCTAATCTTAAGAGCTTTACTTTCCATTGCCTTTACTCATTCAGCTGCAGTGATCGCTGTTAACTCGTAGATTTTCGGTCACATGAAATTTAATCAGCTCACCCCTAAGAAACCACAGTTTTATAGTTCTCCGTATTCCATTGTGTGATTTATCCTATATGTGAAATGCAATGATGCCCCAAATCGCGATGTTTTAAATATAGTAATGAGTATGTTGGTAGGTCGTCCTTTTTCCTTTATAATGGTCCTAGGCAGGTTTTTCCTCAAGGTTGCCACTGCATTCTGCACGTGTTCCAGCGCATGTTTGTGCCTTGCGGTAGTAATGCACAAGTTTGACTGTGCAAGGATGGCTGTGTTTAATTAGCGGTTGAGTGAGCCATGACACTGTTAAAGTGGGTTTTGCAGTCAAGAGCCTTAGACTTCGGTTGAACAGGCTTGGTGATGCTGACAGAGGATCAGTGGAGAGGGACTCCAGGGGATTCACAGGGAGGCCGTGATTGCTCCCTGCAGGGGCTGTGTCTCTCTCACTGTTGAAGGCAGGTTTGTGCAGTGGGACCCTGCAGGCCTTACGGTGGGGGAAGGAGGCATGCGGTATTCAGCTTGGACAGGGAAAGAAAGGTCACTTGAGAGATGAGCATCTTTCAAAGCAGTACAACATTGTTCTTATGACACAGATCTAGACAAGAAACACGGGGGGTTCTGAGCTGTGGCTTAGGGAGACTGTAGCTGTGCCAGTTTAGAAACGATCCTAGACCTAGGTTGTGTAGATAGCTCTCTCTAGATGGGCACCGGTGTAGGGGCAAGGAGGGCTGACTGCCCCCCTTGCATATGTCATATGTGTAAGTGAGGAGAAAACAAACTCCTTGTGTTTCACCCACAAAAACAAATACCGTTGCCTGCAGTAGTGATGGAGCAATACCTCCCCATACAACGTAAAGGATACGCTGTTAATTTGTGAATCGCTTCCTGTTGATGCAAGACCTCAGATGCTCACCACTAAATGTGAGGAAGGCCACGAATTTCGCCATCAGGATAAACGCAAAGTTGTTGTTGGTTTTTTTTTTTTTGCAAGGCGCCAATAGGTCAGGCTTGGCAGTGAACAGAGACGGCTTCCTTGCAGATCTGTGCATTTTGCCTTGTGCATATACACGGTGACGCCAGCCTGGATTTGCTCACCAGTATCGAAATACAAACCATGTCCTTAAAAGAAAGATTTTTGGTTGTTGCTAGAGGTTGTTTAAGACTGACGAGCAGGTTTAAGTTCTGATTTAATCGAATTTTCGTCTCTAAGCACTGATGGTTGGACTGAAGCGTGGCAGGGCAGTAACCCTGTACGGTTTTCTCCCATCTCAGGGTAGGCTGGCAGGAGTGGGAGGAGAAGATCTCCCCACGATCGTCCTGGTGGCTCACTACGATTCCTTCGGCGTGGCTCCGGTGAGACTCCCCCCCCACATTTTCCCTAGACCCTAGTTAACATTCACTCCTCGCAGTTCACTACTCATTCATGAAAGGTTCCAGAGACGCTGGCATGTTTTATGAAGTGTTTCTTGAACCCTGTGATCTCTCCCTTCCAGTGGCTGTCTTATGGTGCGGACTCCAATGGCAGTGGGGTCGCGGTCCTATTGGAGCTGGCCCGTCTCTTCTCCAGGCTTTACACCTACAAGAGGACACACGCAGGGTGAGCGCTTCCTGTCGGCAGAGTGGAGCGACCCACCCTGGAGCTTTGGGACAGTTGCTGCACTGCCGGAAGATGGGCAGATTGCAGATTCCTGCAAAATCGATCTCTGGTTGTTATTTGAAAGTGCAATGTTAGTTGCATGAAATAAATATGCATCTTGCTGGGTTTTTATAGGAAAGGAAGGTATTTGTCTGTTCCCTTGAAGATTTAGTTAAGTGTTTTCTTCCTTAGGTACAACCTGCTGTTCTTTGTGTCTGGAGGGGGGAAGTTCAACTATCAGGGCACGAAACGCTGGCTGGAAGATAATCTGGATCATACAGGTATCGTCTTGGAGACTGCTGCTTTGATTAAGCCATGATGCTTAGGCATGGTGATTCAAAATATTAAGGTTTATCTACTAAAGATCCACCAGAAAGCACAGCAGATGCATTGTTTTTTTATTTTACTTTAAGGGTAGTTTGTTCTTGTAAATATTGCATGTGAATAAAGTTGTACTTTCCGGCATGCCTCAGACAAAGAGTTAGTGATGGTATTGGTCAACGGGGAGGTGTGCTGTATAAACACTTTGCACATCCTGAGTGAGCAGTCATGCAGGTCTGGTCCCTCCGTCCTGAAAGCGTTTTTGTCTCGTCCCCAGACTCCAGCCTGCTTCAGGACAATGTGGCCTTCGTGCTGTGTCTGGACACCCTGGGCAATGGAGACAGTCTTCACCTTCATGTGTCCAAGCCCCCCAAGGAAGGAAGCCCCCAGCACACACTACTGAGAGAACTCGAGACCGTAAGGGGTCCTTATTACATCATCGTCATCTGACATATTTCCGGTCTCATTAATTTATATTCAGTTAAACCTGGGCTGCTGTTTGATTCTATAACTTGATTAACAATATTTTGGCAGTAAAAGATTCTGGGTAAGGTGTTGTGTGCAAGCATTAAGTCTATTATAGTGCGCCTATCTATTGTGCTGTTTCTAAGACAGGAATCTCCAACCCTGGTCCTGGAGAGCCCCAGTCCAGTTAAACTTACATGTCACCCCAATTATCTGTTACTTGAAGATTAGGAGTACGTGTTTAACCGATTGATTGATTGATTGAGTAAGTAATGTATCAATGAAAAGAACACAGTTCCTTGAGGCCTGAAGGATATTTTATTGAAATTACTAATTTATATAGAGGACTTCAGTTTGCAGCTGTTTATACAGCTGGGAGTAAGTTTTACTGGAGCAGTGTGAGTAAAGTATCCTTGCTCAAGGGACAACGGAAGCGTCTCATCTGGGATTTGAACCCACAACCTTCCAGTTGAGAGTCCAGAAATCTAATTTCCGCTCCACACTGCTCTTATATCTTATATAATTTTCAGAATTGTGTTCCAACTGATCTCTCAAGTCTGTAATTGAACAGACTACGTGTTTACTAGATTCTATTTCCTCCGGGCCTTTTGAAAATTGATGCTTTAAAGGCTGAACCTCCTGGACTGGGCTCTCCGAGGCTAGTGTTGGAGATCCCTCTCTTCTGAGACAATGCAGGACCGTGAGCTTCATCTCCACTTGTGATGTTTAGCCTTTATTCTTGCGGGGAAATCCAGGCAGGGCTCCAGGTGCTGTGCTGTGCTGACCGCTCTGGGTTTGTCCATGCCAGGTGCTCTCCAGCCAGTACCCCGAGATGAAGTTCTCCATGGTGCACAAGAAGATCAACCTGGCCGACGACATGCTGGCCTGGGAGCACGAGCGCTTCGGGATTCGCCGGCTGCCCGCCTTCACCCTGTCTCACCTGGAGAGCCATCGCAGCGCACAGCGCACCAGCATCATGGACACGCGGTGAGGGCTCTCCCACGGCGCTCCAGCCCTGATCCCCCAGCAGGGCTGGGAGGAGCCGCTCAAGGCTAGTTCCGCGCTGGAAAGCTGAAGGGAGAAACGCGGCATTTTGGCTGTTGAGGTTTCTTCTCTTGAAGAAGGCTCAATAAGCCGAGACGTCGTTTCTCCTTTTGGATTCTCCTCGTGGAATTGTCCTTTACTTGTTCCTTTGCAGACGATGCTCACTGACGAATCTCCCCACTCAAACGTCATGCGTTTTGGCCATATTGAAAACTCCGCTAAACAGGTGTTAGGTGTATCAAAAGCCTAAGGCTCCTGTGATTTACAGAACTAATCCGTAACCTGCCTCTGTATAACCCATTATGCATTACTTAGTTCATCTCATACTTTTGTCTGAAGCGCGTTACGATGAACTATTTTTGCATTCAGGTTTTGTTGCACAAAACAGCTGGGGTCGCTGGAGCATCCTGGGTGAAGTGCCTTGCACCACTGACCCCACCTGGCGTTGAACCCACAGCCTTCCAGTAAAGTGTTGGTGCTCCAATCCAGTCCTAGAGGGCCGCAGTGTGTGGGTTTTCAGTTTTCTGCTCTTAATGACCTTATTGAGCTAATTATCCACTTAATTAACTGGACCAGTTTAACTTCTCAGCACTCTCCAGCTATTGGTTTAAATAGAGCTAGACAGCCTGCTGGATTCAGGTCCTTGACTAGAGATGTACGACTAGCACTCATCTACAGTGGCCCTTTGGAAAAAAAATAATTCTGGGAGAGTGACGGGGGATTTCTGCAGCAAATGCCTTTGATGCATTTTGTTGTTTGTTTTTGCTCAATTTAAAATATGGTAGTAGGATAGCTCAGGCTGGCCTACTGTACGTGATGGGGGGGGGGACCTGTCCAGCAGCTTTCCTCAGTTGATAATCTGGTTCTCCTAGTTGCAGAGCATTTTGAAGGGTTTCAGTGTCACTGTGACGTAGAGCTAACCTTGTGACTTATTTTTCCTGCTCAGGTCTCACGTTGACTTGCAAAAGCTAAGTCGAAATACTAAGATTATTGCAGAGGTGCTTGCCCGAGTCATCTACAACCTCACAGAGAAGGTAATGTCTAAACAACAGCAAGCCTACCTCAAGCACATGACGTTAAAGACTAGCACACCTTCTTCTTTATTGCATGCCTATATTTAAATATTAGAAAAACACTCTTTTATGCAACGGTTATTGTGATTGACATTTCGATATGAGAATTAAAAACTATATTTAGATAATGGTTTCTGTTCTGATTCATTGTAGTATGGTTGCATGCAGTCTTATTGCAGGACGTCTTTAAAATGAACAGCAGTAGCTGTAAAAGGACATAGAGCGCGGTGCATTTGTTTGCTTCTCTCAGTTGTGATCTCTGTTGTGTGTCAGGTGTGATGGCAGGTGCTGTAAACAGGTGTACTGAAGCTGTCCCTTGTGTTTCCTTTAGGGTGCCCCTGAAGAACTGCAGATCTTCACTGAACAAATGGTGAGAAAACAGCACCCCAGGGCTTTAGCCCTCTTTAAATGATCTTTTGACACCAGTACGTTTATGTTGGAGAGGTTATTTACCAAGGCAAAGAATGTCCTGTTCAATGCGCAACAAGAATGACCGATAAAGAATTACTCCCTTAACTGTGTAGACCCTGCACTTACTCCATTTGGAATTCCACAATTTGAAGAGTTAGAACAGCCTTTAATGTATGTAGGAATAGTAACATTGTGCAAGTTTAATCGCTGAAGGAGTTAAAGATTTAGTTAGTTCCAGGTTGGGTTGGATTGAAAACCACGTGCAGAATTCTGATTTTGTTTTTCTTTTCTCAGTGTCTTAATTGGTTTAGATTTCTTGGTTTCACGTTCTGTGTTCTTTGGACTTTTGAATTATGGGCCCTGGAAATTTAAATAGTTCTACAAGCCCTTCCCTAAGGTGATCGACCCAGGTGTGCAGGATTTGTGGCTTAATAGTACTTAGTGTCTGCCTTAACGTCTCTGGAACATGACTATTTTAACCATTTTAAGTGACTAATCGGCTCAATGCGTTGGGTTGGAATCCGTGTGTTGCTGCAGCTCAGAAGACATGGTGTGATTATTCCAGACATTCTGGCACATAGAGCAGCAATCGGGAAGCACAGTCCTGTTGCTAGAGAATTTCACCTCTGCCGAAGTCTGTTCCCCGAAGGCAAAGGTTGGAAGGAGCTAGGTGTCAGTGTTTGCCTCCGGTGGTGTGTGGGCGTGAGAGTGAGAGGTCGTTCCCCTGATCTCCAGCAGGTGCAGGAGGAGCAGCTGTCTTCGGTCATCAACTGGCTGACGGCTCAGCCGCGGGCGGCCCAGCTGGTGGACAAGGACAGCAGCGTGGTGAGCACGCTGGAGTACTACCTGGGCCGCTACCTCAAAGACGTCAAGAAGCACTACGTCAAAGCTGACAAGAGGTAAAGCCGCAGAGCCAGAGATCTCCCGTACGTCACCTGGGAGCCCAGACCTGCAGTGATCAATATAACAGTATAGCCCGCTCCTCCTCTCTCTGCTGGGATAAAGGCTTTCGCCCTTAGTCAAGCTTGGATACAGTGGTTTTGTGCAGAATATGTTGCCTTCTTCCACCTGGAGCTCCACTTCAGTTGAATCCCTGGAGGATCCAGACTGGTGCTGGTGCCAGCTGTTTGGATCCTTGAATGCATTGGAAATTGATTTTTTTTTTTTGGGCCAATCAAATTCGTCATCTTGAAGCAGCAGGTGGAGCTGATCTGCACATTGAGACCGTGGGGTTCTGAAACCATGCTGATGTGGCTAAACCATATTTCCTTCTCACCACAGGGATCCTGAATTTGTCTTCTATGATCAGCTGAAACAGACTATGAATGCGTACAGGTAACGTGCTTTTCTGGAAGTCCGAAACCTATAAATGGGAATCTTAATCTTTTTTTTGACTATGTAAAGACAGAATGATTCTTTTGTATTTAATGTGGAACACTTTCTGCAAGATAATGCAAGGTAATGCTATTAGACGTAGTGCAAATAATAAGACTGCATAGAATCACAGACTTAGCCTAACATATTCCTACTAATTAATTTTCCTTGTTCCTCTCTAGAGTGAAACCTGCTATCTTTGACTTGCTTCTAGCAGTGTGTATAGCAGCTTATCTGGGAGTGATGTATTTCACCGTTCAGGTAAATATCTTGAAAACAATTCAGAATGAACTTCTCACTTAAACTCTCATCACTTATCAACAAATGTTTTATAACACGGAAGCTGCATCCTGTTGCTCCTTGAAATAAATACAAAGGGAACCAGGGGTAGTCTTGACTTAGCTTCCATGCCAGTTCTTCACTATTTTTGTTGGGGTCACTATTCTGTTGGAGGAACCGCCCTTTGGATGTGACAATGCAAAGTCCTAAATAGTCATTAAATATCCCAAGGAGCTATTAACATAAAATAAGGGCATTGACCCTAGTGTCCTGGCTAAATGCCACTAAGGACCCACACAGACTGGACAGTGTTTTTCCCTTTTAATTCGGCTGAAGTAATTTTTTACCCCTCCATGTGACCTGCTGGGCAGTGGGGCTGCTGGTGCAGAATGATGTGTCTTCCCCAGGTGGGGGCAGCACTTCAGTGGTGGATGAAGTGGTGGTGGTGGTGGGGGGGGGATTGCTCCACAATGCAGATAAATGTCGTGAAAACTGCCCCCTCATGCACCATCGAAATCAGATACAGATACAAACGGGGAGCAGGTTCCCAAGAGGAACTCCCACACCACAGGGTGAAAGGGAAGGCGTGTGACCACCATGTTGGTTCTAGATGGTTTATATGCATCCCCTGTGGGTATCAGTGTGTTCTGTGATATACTCCAAAATTTTCTTTGCTCCCGAGTGCAGTTCTCCCCCCCCAGGCCAACTTAACACCGCAGTGTGTAACGTGTTGGGCATTGAACCCATAAATGTAGTAGTGATTCTGACAGCAGCATGAAGATCGGAGCCCCTCACACATCCTCTCTCTCTCTCTGACTCTACAGCACTTTGGCATGCTCTACAGTGTTGTGCGCAGAATGACGCAACCCAAGACCAAGCAGCAATAACAGGCGTGCTGCCTAGTTCCCAAGTTCGTCAAGACCCCCGAACTCCTGTTCTCTTCAGAATGAAAGGAAAACATGGGAAGCAGAACAAACAGCCAAATGTTTTTTTATTCCTTTTTTTTTTTCTTTAAAAAGAACAACCCCTTGCGTGGAATTTTCAGATGAGCCTGTATTCTCCGTTGCTAGCACTCGGACAAGTACAGAGAAAGCTGGAGTCCCAGGAATATGCCTTTGCTCGACACTGCCCCCTGCTGGCTGTTCTGCTGTATTGTTGCCCTCTTGCTCCTGATCACAGACTGTACTGGTGAACGGTGGAGTCCTGCTTGGGGCAGCCAGACTAGTTAAGTACACATAATAATGGGACAAAGCCCGGCAAGGGTTAACAGGCGGAGTCTCGTGAATTCTCAGTATTTGTTTAGCTCACATGTAGCACATCAGTGCCTTTTCCTCCAACACTACAAAATGAAACTGCTCATCTGAAACAGTAATGTTGTCTTATCTTTCCATGATAGTGTTCTGCAGTATTCTTTAAAAACTGAACACTAAGCTCATGAATTGCATTTCAATAAATTCTAGAAACTGGTATTCAAATAATTATATTATAAGGTATGAATTCTGTTAGGCACTATTAAAATATATATATATAACTATCCAGATTCTTATCCTAAGCAAGCACTCTTGTGATATGAGACATGACCTTTCTTTTCCCAGGAGACATTATAAATTCCCAACATGTTTGCAATGGCCAGTGCAAAAATGCTGGCTTTTTGTAACGTTTCTAACATTGATCGCAAGATTACCCAATTTCTTTACCATACTATCAGACAATTCTTGTATTTTAGCTGTGCTTTTGTAAATTATTTTATTCCTCAGTTTGGAAATATTACTCTCCTGAATGGTTTTTAATTGCAGAAAGGCAGTATTGAAAGCAACTTTTATACAATGAGGCCCGCCTGGAACCTTGAAGGTTTCATGGAGATGGTGTAAGGGCTACTCAGTCCTTCGCTGTGAGCAAAATAATACAAAGGTACGAGAATCAAACCTGCAGCTATCAGATCTCAAACTACAGGTCTGGGAGGAAATAAAAATAGGAGGAATTTGGCAGTGCTTGAAATGCATTTGAGTTGCCTTGGCAACTTCTGCTGGACAGCACACGAGACCCCACCTCACTGTCCCATTGTTAGTGTGCAAAAAAGAGCCTTCTTCAGTTTTTAATCTCAGTTTTTAGCCAAGGAGTGTTCAGTCTCTCTCCCTGCCCCTCTCCTCTGGGTTTTGCAAAGTCTTTCTAGCATCCTCAGGCAAAGAGGTTTATCCTCACGGTTTAAGTGGTGAAGACTGAAGCAAGGCTTCCCCGACGATGCAAGGCCAGAGATGATGGGTACGCAACCTTCCATCTATTTATTGAAGCAGTGAATGCTGAGTGGTGCACTGAATCTTTATTTCCCAACCCTTTGTTTACCCAGCCCCCAATCCTGTTTTGTCTTCACCGATTGCTGAATCGTGTTGTAGCTGTTCCAGAAAACGTGATTCTTGCAAAAAAATAAAATAAAATTCCTCTGTTGGATTGTTTGGGACGAGGAAATTGGTGTCATTCAATCTATTTAGAAGAAAAGTCCAAAGAGCAGGAGTAGCAGGTGTTTCTCATAGTCATTTTTTTTATTACAAAAACAAAGTACATGTCATATTTGAATGATCACATTGTGAGTGATTGAACGGTAACACTGAACATGCTTTATAAAAGGTGTGTTGATAGGGAGGAAATTACAAAGCTTTTTGTTGCACAGGAATAGGTTTTCAGCCACATAGCCTGGACACTGGATGCAATATACTCAAAAACTGGTGCAGAAAAAATGTTGGGAAAAAGTCTGTTGTTCAACCTTTCTTGAATCAAATCAAATTGATTTTTTCCTAAAATCTGAATTTAATCTTTTTTCTGAAGTATGCTGTTGTTACTCAGCTTTCAGCCAACTAACCATGTCAACATTACAAAATACAGAATTGAACAGCAAAAACGCAGTGCCAGTGGAATCCCATGTCTAGGAACTAACATTCTGCTAAGAAAGGGTGTAGTACAAATACGCAAACAAAAGTTCACTCTGCCTCAAAATAAAAGTAGGAAATTTCACATTCTGATAAACCTGTACTAAGCAGCACTGTCCCTTTCTCCCAGAAAAAGCAGACCTCCTTTGATCATGGCAAATACTGTATCAGTACCTCGTGGTGTGCCAGTTCCCTAATGTAATGGCAACTAAACTCCATATGTACAATAACACAAATACTGCTTGGTGCTATTTGGCAAGCCAGAAGGGGTTCACATGTGGTGGACACCATTAAATAGCCATTACTTCACTTGGGTTTTCTTAAAATCACTTAAAAGAGTGACCAGACTCTCGGCTTCTTTAAAAAGGTTTAAAAATCGGCAGTCCAGGTTGAATGACCTGCCTGTGTTATTGCAATAAGTCCAAGCATATATATATACACCTCTAGATTTGTATACCTTGTTGAGGATCATAGCAGGAGAGGGTTAAAACAATCTCGATGTACACTGTTAATATGTCAACATTTTACATACGCTCGGGACACTACAGCAAACATTCAAGGCACCCACATCACCTACATCCACCTTCTTTTCTGTACACACAACTTCACAGTAAGACAAAAGTAATTGAAAACCACATTCACAGTGCTGTTTAAAAAAAAATAAAAGCCTAGACAGGGTTTTCTTTTCTCTAGGCCAGCAAGCAAGTCGGGCTACTGCTGTGAATTAGTTAATCTATTTCCTTGTAGCTACAGCTAATTGCCAGAAGGTGGAGTTAGGGGGCGTCATTATGTGTGTTTGTCCTTTACAATCCCATTCTTCAGGTGTTTCCTAAAAGAAAAAAAAGCCTTCTGTCAGCCTTGTGCAAGGTCTCAGCTGGACCCAGGAAAATGAGAAAATAACCAAAAATTTGCAGAATTTTATACAGCTACAGCAACTGAACAATCACTTAGTGCAAAAGCACACTCAGGCAGAGTGGTATACAGGTTCTTTAATCCTGCATCAGTCCTCCATTCACACAACAAAACCATGATCAGTCGATCGATTTTATACAAAAGCGCCGATGGATTATTCTTGTCTTAACCAGACAAGGTTAGTGTGGCACTAGGCTTCGCGCCAACAAATATTGAGTTAGTCTAGACTACAACAGCGATCTTCTACTCCAAAACCCATCAGGTCTTACATTTAAGTGTGGATCATATCATGAGCTTTACAATTAAGTAACTAAATAATTCAATTTTGGCTTGTAATGAAAAGAAGCTCTCCTGGACCAGAGTTGGAGACTTATAGCCTTGTCGGGGTGACATACTATTTATTCATTTATATGCCTGATGCTTTTTTCCCCCAAAGTGACTGACTTTTGCACCCACTACACTATGTGAACATTAGATGACAACACCCCCCAGAGTGTCTCATCGCCTCATCAGTTGGGGAAGGACGGGCATTTCTCACCTCTGTTTCCAGGAGTTGCAGTAGGGCAGGCTGTCCCGTCTCTGGAGCAGCGCTGGCTTCTTGCTGTCCTCCACGTCGTAGTCCCGAACGTCGTTCACCTCCGTCATCTGCCCTGTCAGCACCTTCGCCACGAACAGCAGGATGTACTGGGGGGGGCAGAGAGAGGTTCAGTTTCCACCCATCACCTCGTCCTGTGCTCACAGGCCTGGAATCGGTGCCAACCAGGACTCTGAGGCCCCCCAGGTGCCAGCGACACAGAACAAAACCCGAGACTCCTGGGGTGCACTGAACATCACCTGCTGTGGGCTGTCAGCCAAGAGTCTTGTTGGGCGCACCAGTGAGCAGAAAGAGGGGACAGGGCCTTCTGTGTTTATAAAAAAACACATACTGATAGGATACCTTCTTAACTGATTTGGAAGCAGGTAAGGGTGCACTTACTTTTTCTGAATGTTTCTGAATTTCTTTAGATTTCTGAATGGGTTTTTTTTGTTTAACAATGAAAAAGTCAAACCTGTGTGTATTTGTCGCTTGAGGATAGACTTACCTACTGTTAGGATGCAACAGGGGAACCAGCCGGGTGAGCTAAAGGAGACCTCCCCCAGCCCAGGCGGCCGAGGTCCCTGCTACGCGCAGGGAGGCCCATGACGTCACCATGAGGCCCATGACGTCACCATGAGGCCCATGACGTCACCATGCACAAACTAGCTCCGCTACATGTACTCACCAGAAACCAGTATATATTCATCAGGGTCAGCGCCAACAGCAGGGCATTGAAGAAGAAGTAGAAGGGGATGTTGGGGACAGTGTGCAGGCTGGAGATGCAGGTGGCGTAGAGCACTTTAAGGGGAAACCAGTAAAGTCGGAACCAGTACCTGCGCCAGAAAAGGGACAGACAGACACTTCCGTCACCGAGAGAATGGACACTCCTGGGAGGTCACTGCGCGGTCCTCCACTGACCTAACGACTTCCAGTCTTCACCAGGCTCTGAGGGAAAGTTCTCAGGCTCAGGATAAATAGACTTTGTGGGGCACCATTGACAGAGAATGTACTTCCTTTTCCAATGAGTCAACCTCAATTTAAAACACTTCTGCTTGCTATGCTGCAACAGCAAGGAAAGAGATGTTCACCATGGAAACGTCATGTTCGAATTCCTTTAACGCCCGTACTTTTGATTTTTTCTTATAAAGCAGACAGTGTTTCAGCGGCCCCTGTATGGCCCTCTTGTGGAGAAACCACAGATGTCCCTCCGTCCTCAGGAACTCAATGTCCCCGATATAAAATCACCTCTTCCCTGGACCCTGAGCAGCGCAGGACATACCAGCTGATGCTGAACGTGACGCAGCCCATGGTGGAGACAATGTCGTTGAAGATGTGGTAGACCCCTCCCCTGTTCTTGAAATAGACGTTGACCTTGGTGAACTCCAGCTGGATGTCATTGATGTCGTGCAGGAAAAGAACCAGCACCCCAATGTTGTGGTACCTGAGGGACACACGGACAGGCAGGGACAGTGAGCGTGGCAATTCCTTCTTTCCTGGGATTTCTGTGTCTTCGGATTCACATTCTGCAGCTCAACTCTTCCCACAAGGAACACCTTTACACCGACAGCCTCTTAATGTGACAACACATCATCCCACTGAACGGCCTGGGCCTGCACAGTCTTACTAACACATTCAGCCTTCAGGAGTCTGGTTTGCTGGTGTGCATCCACAGGAGTCGAGGGTTTTCAGATGCTGTACCCCATGCCACTAGACCTCTACTCCACACTCCAACAGGGAGGCAGGAAAAGGAACTACATCACAATTCTGTATGGCCTGGCTTTCTGTCACTGATTTCAATGAGGCATTTGTATTTTAATCCTGCTGGGCAATGTGGTTTTCACATAAAGGGTACCATATAGTACCGTATTGAAGAAAGCCCTGATCAGAGGTCAAGGAGAGCTGCTCTAATCTGCTTCCCTTTAAATAGTCCTATAGGTCTGCGTTCCTCAGTACTCAAGCATCTAGGGTAATGAAGACTGATGTAAGATTTTCCTAACAGAAAATGACTGGAAGACACCCTTCAGGCCTCCTTGCTAACATGCATGTAAAGGAACTCTATGGCATTGAGAAGCTGGCAGTACAGCAGGGGAAACACACAAGGGGAGGACGCAAGACTCCCGTCAAGAAAGGGAGGTAGGGGGGATGTGTGCAGGGTGCCACGAGCTGTCCTGCGTCGCGTGAGCCAGTTCCACGGAGCAGCCCTCACCTGAAAGCGTACGAGAAGGCGATGAGAGCCAAGGTGATGAGGTGATGGACCACCATGACCACCGAGTCCTTGCGCCAGGTGTCCATGTAGACCGTGGCATATATAGAGTGCCCGTAGAAGCTGCCCTGGATCAGGTAAGCAACGGCAATGTCAGTGGGCACAGACATCCCTCTCTTCCAGTCTGTGGGTGGGGGGGATGAAGAGGTACATGTATCAGACACAGGGCTGGTGCTCTCCTACTGTTAACAATCAGCCATTCAAATCATTGCACCTACCATGTCTCGCTAGCAAAAAATACTTTGAAGCACAATATTTACAACTGGAAATCTTCCGCAGTAAAGTACATTCTGTGTTTAGTCATATCAGAAATGCAAAACACAACAAGCAAAAAAAAAAGGACCCTTTCTGGTTCTACATTCTGCAGTCTGTAACTTTCCACAAAGACGTCTCTGTGCTTTGCAAGCTTACAGTATGTTCAGAGAGGGGCGTCTACTGGGAGGTCAGAGGTGACCAGAGCTGCTGTACAGCCGTGACTTGGAGAGATTCCTACCATAGAAGGCAGAGGGGGGGTCCTGGAAGAATGTGTACCGGGTGCAGAAGAGCAGGTAGGAGCTGTAGGACCAGGACAAACTGTAAAAGAGCAGCTTCCAGGAACTCTCGGGCATCTTGGCAGCATCTCTGGGCTGGAGGTGGCACCACTGACCAAACGGCTAAAAGGAAAACACACTGAGCCTCATCCTTCCATTCCGCTTCTGTGCTGGAGAGCAGTAATTCAGTGTACAGTGGGACTTGACACTTGACAATGCCCACATCAAATGACGTCTTTGTGTTTCCTGCACAAGTGCCAAAGTCTGACCTCATCTCATCAGAAAAGGTCTTGTTTTATTTTCTTGTTTTCATTCACCCCGTGTTTGGAAACACATGAAAGAAAAAGAAAATCTGCAATTCTAGGTGGCCCAACAGCCAGAAGATAACTTGTTTGAAAATAAAAGCCTTCCAAGCTGTTGGACCGAGTTTGTGAATCTGTGGATGGGGTGACCTGCTTTGGAAACGAAAGCTCAGCAAACGCTGGGCTGGGTTTCTAACAGGAGGCCAGCCGGCCCCTGATTCTTCAAGTTCCTTTGCAATTACTTTTGAAATGACCCCTGTTTCCAGACACCCAAACAGGATCCTGGAGATCTCTTTGGACAAAGACATCCTTCAGTACCCGGAATGCGATCAGACCCCTCACTGCGGAACTGGTTTTAGTACGTTTGTTTTCTTAGAGATCAGCTCAGATGCAAACGCACATCTTGTGACTGACAAGCATGTCTGTTGCTTCTCCGAGTTACATTTTTACACAGTAAATCTATACAACCCAACCTGCTGGCTCAGATCAGCAGGGACCACCCCCTGTTTCCAAGCCCCTAGGCCTCCTGGAGCTATTAATAGAGCCCAGCTGTCAGGTCAGCACCGCCTTCTCAAGGCCTGCTGGAGTTGGAAATAAAACGAGAGGCGGGCTGGGTCTGGCCACGCTGAGACCTGACCATTGTGCCTGTGCAGATGCCACACAGGGAGGTGGCAGCACCAGAGTGATCGCCCGGCCATTTATTCAATAAATGGGCAAATACTAGCAGTTGTGAAATTTTGTTCTTCATAATCTGCTTTTGTGCCATCTAAGAATATAAATACCATATACAGTGCTGTCCATATGTATTTGGACAGTGACAATATTTGGTTTGGCTCTGTACACCAGCACATTTGATTTGAAACAATGACTATGAGAATAAGGCTGGGCAAGGCAAGGCTGCTGCTTGCCGGGTCAGACTCCAGCATCTCTCGTGGCCCTGTACTGGATTAACTGGTTAGAAAATGCATATATAGATGGATGGTACAGATGTTGTGTGCATGATTATTATTGTGTGTAAATGGTATTTAATCATGTTTGATCTCTGAGATATGGAGCAATTTGCTCTAGAAACTTCATTTGATTTTTTTTAATCCTGTCTTTGCATTCTTATTTCTCACCGAGCTGGGACAAGGCATTTATACCCTTCCAACAAGTCAAATCTAACCAGCATGCTCTGAGGAGGCAGGAGTAAATCCACTTGGATGTGGGGAGATCATGCAAACTCCTCACAGACAGACACCCAAAAACAGGACTCTGGCACTATTAGGCAACAACACTAGCCATTGTGCTCCTACACTGTGAGCGAGAGGTTGAAAAAACAAAACAAAAAAAAAAGAAAAGAACAATTTCTTTTTTTATTCGACAGAGGACCTCGAAAAGCGACCCTTGGTTTCCCTGGCAACATGCAAGATGGTGCTGAATCTGTTGCCATGGGAAAAATAGAACAGCAGCAGCTACATCCTCCTCGGCAGAGCTCCAGCTCTCCTTTGTCGTCTAAAACTCAAAAATGGATGCAAGTTGAACTTACGTAACAGCGCTAAACGAAAAGCAGGACAGGATTTTCGTGCAGTGAACCCATTCAATAAACCCCCCCCTTGCTGGGAACATTAGGAGACAGCTGCCAACGCAGTACAGAAGAAATCTCTCAGACAGGCAACCACGGATGCAGAGGACTAGAGGGCCTTTGTTCAGAGACCCTGTCCTCCTCATCTACAAACAGTAAAGCCAAGAACTGAGTGAGTCATTATTAAAGTGCTCCATACCGAGGAGTAATGAAAGGGAACAGGAATACAATCACGTCTGATACTGAGCATAAGAGATTGTGGGCAAATATTTTGCACAGCAATTATAGAAATTTGCTGTCCCTCAACTGCTGAATCTATGCAGCAACAACGGGACGTCCATTACAGATAAAATAAAATGTAAAACTGCACAAAAATATATTGAACGCTGGGATTAACAAATACTTCTGGAGGTGTTAGCCACTGTGTGTTGCCTTTAAAAACTGTTGGCTGAATTAGTGGTGCATTTTGTGTTAGAAACGTTTTTAAAAGCATTCCCTAATTTTCTGAAACCACGCTATTCCAGCCTGATTTTCTTATATAATTGTACAGAGACTCCTGTGTGTCATCTTAACTCCATTCCTGTCATCACCACATAGAAGCAAGCCAGATTGTGCAAGCATCCCTTTGGAAAACACAACACAGGATAGTCATCACTGGGGGTTGCTTTTCCCAATCAATACAAAATCAGTATATGCATGAATAGGCTGCACCACTGCGGTTGAGGGCCGCCAGGTAACAGAAAGGGAGAAGGATTAAAGCAAATAGCCCAGATAGATCAAACTTCAGGTCCTGGGACCTCCTGGAATGGATCTGTACACTATGGTCTTTGTGAGCCAGTCTCAGCCCAGGATGCTGACTATAGCCACAATGCACTGAGTAGCAAAGCACTGGCAAACTAAAGTGTTTCCCAGACTGTGCCATGCGTATAGGGTCTCACTGAGGCTCAAATCATGCGTAACTGAGTTTTAGCCAGAATGTCAACAATCACTTGTTGTAATTACTGGGAACAATGGAATGTGGGCATGTGCTGTTCCCAGTCTCCACTTGTGCGACCAGCCCTAGCCCCACGTGACGTGTGGAAAGAGAAAGGGCAATGTGGGCCGGAATTAATGAAAAATGTGGCTCTTTGTAGTCCCCAGACTTGTGTAATTCAGCAAGAAGGGTGAGGGTGGGGGTTGGTCGGATCTCCGACGGTCTCCAAGGAAGCCAAGCTGATTAGAATGCAAAGCGAGCGGGCAGCATGCCGGGCCAGGATAAACACAGACACATGATATTAATAATAATCACTTGCATTTCTATAGTGCTTTTCATCCCAAAGAATCCCAAAGAGCTTTGCATGTAAGAGAGAGCCCATTTCCCCCCAAGTGGGAGCTGCACTAACTGCAGACATTCTGCATCAGCAAATCAGCTAGGGGAGTAAGAATCCGCTTCACTTATTGAATTAAGAGGGACCTTAAACGAACTTTACACTGACGAACAGTATAATGGGATCTTTAATGACTACGTCATTGGGACCTCGGTTTAACATTTCACACAAAGGATGAATGACCTTCCTACAGCACAACGGTTAACAAATTGGGGCGTTAAATTAGAAATTGTGATCTCGAAGAAAGAATATCACCTACTGGTCTACCTACAGCAGTTACATACTTGCTTTCCCTTAGAGGGTCTCTCATCCCAATAGTGACCAGGCCTAGTCTTGCTTAGCGTCTGAGGTGAAATCAGGCTACAAGATTGGGTAAGTGTTGAGTGGGGGTTATTACAAAAGTGCTACCAGGAAATGACTACATTTCTCACATTTGCACACATGCCTCCTGACGTTCCCTGACTGTTGAGTACAATAAAAGAGGCATTACAAAGGATGACATTCTGCAGCAATTTTTTATTGTTTATGTGTTTGTCTGGCTGCCCTGTTCCATCAATCACTGCCAGCTCTGTCTGACACAACGTGTTCCTGTCTGCTGCTTTCATCTGAACAAGTGGTCCGTTGTATCTACAGGCAATAATATCTTGCTTGTTAGGGAACAACTCACTCTCCGGCATAGGATTCCAGCATGTCAAAACCAGAGTTCGAATCCAATCAGAGACTAGGTGATTCCTATCACTCACGGACATTTAAAACAAGCGCAGCACTTCAAGCATTAGCGTTTACATTTGAATCGTAACTGAAACCGACTGTCACGAGCGATGATTTGGTAGAACCAAACGTTCAGTATCTACTAAAACGAAGAGGGGAAGAAAACAACAAATTTGGATACAAATGTCAGCATGTTTGGGTAAACTTTCAGAAACCTGGCTTCCAGTGACCACAAACTGAACAACAACACAGACCTTCTCTTGGAATTACAGAGAGATGGATGGTGCACTGAGGAATACCGAGGGAATCCTGTGTGCATCTTTGCAGTGACTTCTGGAAGGAGCCCTGGATGAATTTGCCGCACGCTAGTCTCTGCTCTGGGTGCTGAGTCAGCAGTTTGTACAGTAAAGGAGGCTGCCTGTCAAGAGACACAGCATCCCACTGCAGTTACTGGCAGTGCTGAGCAATAGGGCAGGAAGCTAGGAAAATCACTAAATCATCACATTTGAAAAGCTTTTTGACCTTTAAAAATCAGTTCTGCAGCCAGCCAGCATGTACAGCTTGTACACACGCTTATCTGCCCAATTTTTTAAAATCCTAGAACATAACGTCTTTGTCTGGGTTTCAGTTTTAAGTCTACCTTAAGCAGTCCAACTAAACTCAAGTCTGCAATACCTTAAAAAGCTGCTATTTTTTTAACTCTGTGGACATTTCGAAATAATCTTACTGTAATGATCCAGTATTGTTTGTGCAGTCAAGACAGTAGTTCACTGGTAAGCTTGTTATGGTTGGAGGCTTGTGGCACATAGACACGCAAAGCACACTGACGCAGCTCAAATTGCAAGTCATTGGTTTGGGAACAAATTACTTGGGTATCTTCCGTTATTGAGCCACAGCTCACTCAAAAGCATCAAGAAATCAAGCAGGAGTTGCGGTTCGTAGGCATTTTGTAGTATGAGGAGACTGGAAGATCATCCATATGAATGTTCTCTTCAACATCACTGCACTAAAACAATCCCTGGACTTGTTTCACACCTCTGTCCTCAAAAACCGTACAGAAGTAGGTCATCTGCACTGACTCAGCACTCAGTATCCTGCTCTGTTCTCAGGCTGTCATGGCTGAAAGATTTTGGTGTAGAACTATCTGTTATAAAACAAACAGGCACTGGTCTGTAAATAGCACAAAAGCCCAGGGCCTTTTACCAAGCTAAATCCTGTAATACACATTGGGTAACACAAACATGAATCATTTGTTTCCAAATAAAGCCCTGGTTGTCATACAATTAGGGCTAACCGGTAGGAATCAAGCTGAATTCCTCTGAAGTGGACACAAAGAAGAACAATTAACGTGGGTGTCAGAGGCTGAGATTTTGTTGAGTGAGAATGCTGTAAACTACAGCTGAGACATGATTAGCAAAGACGATCAGACAGAATTTTCATTTTTCCTTCCCTTCTGAATTAGGCTCGACATGTACAGTGCAGGCTGTTATACGCCCTCACTTCTTGGCAATATCTCCAAGTATTATTTAACAAAGAGATGCTGCAAAAGCAAAAGCTGACATATTAATATATTGGACAGGTCCCATGTGGCCCTAGTAGCAGCCAAACTACTTAATGGTCATGTCTCACATACTATTATGGTTAACATGACTGCTGTAGGATGCATGTTAACAACTGGAGAGGCCTTGCTCAATCCAAAACCATTTTAATAGAGGGTTTCCTGCAGTGCTGTGCTTATGTTAGCCTGGGCACAGCCCCTCATTTGTGGCTTCAGCAGATTGCCACACACCACATAATTTGTGTTCCTGCCCTGTCTTTCACTTTTCCTGTGAGGCTCTGAGCACACCAAGCACAAATTACACAGTAGGGGCAAAATCAGACAAGCCCTCTGCTCATCTTGATTCAGGCTGTCCCTTTGCACAAAGAGCCTCCTCTCGTTCTCCCGGATCTGCCTGCAGAGAGCGGGCAGAAGGCAGAGGGGCACCACTGGCAGTATTGGGGTGCTGCGTTCAGCTGGCCGAACCCCTTCCTTCTTCGAGTCACTTTGAATTCACCATAGTCTTTAAAACAAAGCTGACCAGACCCCCGTCACCCTTTAAAATTCTCCTGTGAAGCACAACCAAATGACACATGTGGAAACTACTTGGAAGGGCATTTAAAACCCAGAATAGGGGGCATCTCTTTACGCAAAGGGGTGTGGGAGTGTACAAATTACCCAGGCATGTGGCTGAAGCTAATACTTTCACTTCATTTAAGAAAAAGCTAAATCAGATCCTTGTAACAATACACTTCTAATGACCAAAGCTATATATCAGATAGGCCAAATGGCCTGTTCCCCTTTGTAACCTTTCAAATGGGACTTTTCATATCTTGGGAAAAATGAACATTTGCAGGGAACTGGGCATCCTATGGGTTTAAATCAACTCTATTCTACTGGACAGGTGACAAACGAACCTTGGGCATAATTCCATATTCCCCCATGCTGCTACACAAAATGCTGAAGGCTGCTGATGATCTTTGAAACCAGAACCTTTCAACACTGTGTCATGCCACCGCAACGAATTATTCCTTCTTCAACTTGAACGTGATTGCTGGGAGACAGGCAATGGCTCTAAATGGCCCATGGAGCTCGTACCCCAATGCTCTCATCCTCCATTGACCAGCAAGAGAATGCCTGACACTGCATCACAGACAACCTGAACATCCGAGGGCTGAGGAGGTCATCATGTCCACCTGACTGCTAGTGGCTGGCCAGAACCCAGTCTCATAGGACCCCAGAGTGTTAACTTCAGCCTCTCAACACCTGGGACCATTTCATTACTGGAAGACAACCTGAGAACACATTGATGCCATTTCAGACACATTTTGATTTGGCTGCAACCCCACTAAGGCCACTGCAGTCCATTCAGGACTTTAGATAATAAAGAATAAGGAATTACAGCTGGGTCAATGTCACCACATTATCGCTGCAACACAACATGCTGAGATAGGAAAAAGATTAGAACTCGTACTGCAAGTCAACAAAGTAGGTCAGCCGTTGATAGCAGGAGAAGTAAATCAGAAAAAAATTGCAATACTGACTCAACTTAACTGTAATTGTTATCTTTTTACAAAAGATAAGTACGTGGTCCAAGGACGCAATGTCCGTTGTCAGCCCTGGACTTTTATCCCCATTTTTGCCTTGAGGTGCTGATTTTCTTGGAACTGAGGGCAAACTTTGCAGATTTCAGAACTGCTGATAACCTTATGGTGTTAATTGAAG